GGGAAGTCAATTAAGTGATTGCATGATTGTTGAATCTACGAGTCTCTACTTATATTTCGTTGTTCCATTCTCTTAGAGTGTTTTTGTGTGATCTTTGCCCCATTATTTTTTTTTTTGCAATTTTCTGCACCTACAATGTATATAAAGTAAAATAGAAAGGGAGAAAAACAATGATTAATTGGACAATTAGGTTAGAAAAAGTAAAAATGGGATAACCATAACCCCTAAGTGAAAATAAAGAAAACAAGAGCACGAGGAATAACAAACTCTAGAATGAGAAATTATATAATCTGGACTAATTACTAGTTGACACATAAAAATAAATAAAAAATTAAACATAGTAATTATTTGCATATCAATCATTAATGGACCGAAGACCAATCCTTCCACATAATAATATATTATCTATCATCCTTCCCTTCCATGGTGAGTGGGAGGATAATAAAAGTATAAACAGTAGGATTTAATTTGGAGAAATTACTAAATAGTTCTCAACCATGTGGACCAAACCAGTCAAGGTTAAGTATTTTGTCTTGCTTTTACAGTATAATTAGGTTTCTATTTTATGCTTAAGTATTGGACTACAATAATTTGTGTTTACGACTATGTAAATAGATGCATCGACAAGAATGAGACTCGTGAGATTGTAAAAAATATAATATGATGCGGCAGTTATATGTAGGGGTAATTTATGACTATACTTATGTTGTGTTTCATATATAGGAATTGAATGGAATAGAATGTCCATTTAAAGTAAGAATGACCATTTCATTGGAATAAAAATCCATTTCACAACTAAACATATACAATTGTTATTCCATTCCCAAGTAATTTTTTTGAAAAAAAAAAAAAAAAAAAAATCAATTTCTTAAAAAATTATCATGTTCCAAGTTCAAAAATCACAACTACCTTTTATCACAACCACCTCCGCTTTTCACCACCACCGACTTTCACCACTGCCCACCGTTTTCCACTACCGCCACCGCCACCGCCTTTCACCACTAACACTGCCTTCCTTTGTTGCAACCACCACGCTATCGCTTTTCACCACCTTCCACCTCCACCACCGCCACAGCCTTTTACCCCAGCCACCACCTTTCACCACCGCTATCTTCCACCACCGCCACCAGGGGCGGAGCCAGTGTATGCCCGGGGGCATGTGCCCCCCTTGCCCCGCTTGTTATAAAATATATACTCCTACTAAATTTTTTTATATATATATATATATATATATATATATATATATATATATAAGAAAAAATTCATATAATGCCCCCTAAAATTTTTATTTTTTAAAATTATACTTAAATTTTGTATTTCTTCTCTTTTTTTACTCTCTAAATTCTTTTATTTTCCTTTTAAAAAAGTCAAATTTTCCTTTTTGAATCAAACTCCATTTTTTTTCCCTTTCAAAACTCTCTCATTTTTTTTTTTTTTTTTTTTTTTTTTTTTTTTTAACTATTTATCATTCTTAAACTGCTCATTGAGGTAATTTTTCTTCTTTATCTCTTGATTTGTAGAATCTATATTTATTGACGTGATTATTGAATTTTTATTTTTTATTTTTACACTATGCCTCCCTGAATTTAATTCCTGGCTCCGTCCCTGACCGCCACGGCCTTTCTCCACCGCAATTACCTTACACCACCGCTACTGCCTTCCACTGCCACCATGTAACGACCCGAACCCGTAGGCCTGAGCCGTAAACCGGGTCCTCGCCCAAACCCAAAGTCATCTAGTCAATACCATCAAGTCCAATGAAAATACATCATTTTTATGTCTCAAACATGCCTCATGAGGTCACTAAGTGTAATACCCGGATATTTTAAAGAATTTATTAATTTGAATTATTTTATTTTATTTTATTTTAAAATGATTTGTTTTATTTAAATGGAGTGCTTAGATTAATTGTCTTATTTTAATTATATTATATTTCGTGATTGATATGATGATTGTTTTGTGTGTTTGATTATTGATTAAATTATTGATGAAAATTAGTTATTTTAATTTAATTATTTGATTTATTTAAATTAATTGAATTTGGGCTTAAGGGAAGTTGGACTAATAGATATGGTCTTGAGCTTGAAGGAAGCCTTGTTAATTTATTTAATTATTTTATTTTAATTGGATTCGGCTTAAAGAGGAGTGAGACAAATGGATATGGTCGTGGGTTTGAAGGAAACCTTGTTGGGTTAATTAGTAAGGGCCCATAGTTATAAAGATAGTTAAATAATTATCCTTGCATAATTATATAGATAATTATATGTATATAAATATATAATTATTATGGAAGGAAATATATATATATATATATATATATATATATATTTATTTATTTATTTATTTATTGATACATATATATGTGTATATATATATATTTATTTATTGATATATATATGTGTATGTAATTAATTAAGGATTAGTATAGAAGGAAATATACATATATATATATTATAATATATGTGTATATGTATTATTTAAGTTAATTACTATTTTTATTATTTTATTTGGTAGTCCTATTAAGAATATGATTTTGATTTTAATGTGTATAAATATATACATAAAGTTTTATAGTTTACACGTTAGGAAAATAAGAGAGACAGAGAGAGTAGAGAGAAGGCTGACAAAGAGGAGGCCGGATTAGAGAAAAGTTTGAAAGGTCGGTTTCGTTTTAGGTATAAGGTTTTATAGTTAAAAATTTACATGTTAGAAAAATAAGAGAGGCAGAAAGAGAAGATGAGAAGGCTGACAAAAAGGGGGCCAGATTAAAGAAAAGCTTGAAGTGTCGGTTTCATTTCAGGCGAGTTTTTCTCTATCTTTCCTCTTACAACTTGAGTACCAAGACTTTAATCAAATTTATTTGATTAAATCATAATTCGGCCGGATGAATTAAAACCCTGAATTATTATATGTTATTTTTTTAAAACTTTAGATTTTAAATGGATAGTTGAATGTGATATATTTATTTTAGAAACAACTAATATGCTTGATTTGTGACCCAAAAAGGTTAATTAGTGTTTATAGAATTTTTTGTAATTTTTCAGAAATTTTCTGGAATTTTTCTATAATTTTTCTATGTTTTAGAATTATATATATAATTATATTTGTGTATAAAATATAATATATATATATATATATAAAATTTTACAATTAGGGTCTGTGGCGCATCAAATGGGGTGGGTAATCCAGGGATAGGTGCTTTTGGACTATTTCCATCCCACAGAACTGCTCTAGCAACTGGAAGAAAGTCCTACAGTTAAGGGGGTTGCGTATAACCTAATTAGATGTTTGGTTGGCAATGGGGACCTAACCTATTTCTGGGAGGACAATTGGTTGCTGGGTGGACCTCTCACCTCCAGAGTCCTTGAAGGGGTCAGAATCATCTTAACAATTTTACCTGGGCAAAAACTCTTTTCTCTTGCTTCAGATGGAACGTGGTCCTTTCCCAACTCGTTAATTGAGCTTATTCTTGAACTCGGCAATCTTTGCCCGCCGACTACTTCACCGGATTCAGTTGTATGGATCCCTTCTCGACCCGGCTCATTCTTTATGAGTCATACAATTGGCTGGCTTAAGACGTCTCATCCACCAAAGCATTGGAACAATCTTCTGTGGAATCCATTTTCGGTGTTGAGATGTAATTTCTTACTATGGCTTGCCGTGCAGAATCGACTCCCCACACTTGCTAGAAGTAGCATGAGAGATGTGCACGGCCCAAGGCTGTGTCTGTTATGCAATGTAGTGAATGAGTCACACGATCATGAATTTGTTCTTCGCCTGCACCTATGGATCTTCCTGCAGTACAAGTGCCATTTCCTCCCTTTAGCTTCTTCATGGATTGGCTTTGTTGAGTGGGTTTCACAACGTTGGACAAGTTGGAATCTACGAAATTCAGTGAACAAGCTCATGCTGTCAACCACCATCAATAGGATCTGGATGGAAAGAAACGACAGTCTTTGAAAATCAAATATATCAAATATGCAATATGCAATCAATCAGTGCTCCTCAACAAAATTACAGAAATGATAAGGTAAAAACTTCTTTCGAAGTAGGTAGGGGACTCACCATCGGCAAGGGTTATGCTTGAATGGAATCTTCTAGGTTCCTTTATTCGGCTGCCGGTGGAGCCTCTCGATGGGTCGATTTAGGGCGCTACTCTGATTTGCTTCGCCCTAATTATCCTTGCACCGGAATGAGTCACGGCTTAAACCTGAGTAGTCTACAAACCCTAGACTAGGAATGTGTTTGTTAGGTGATGGGCTGGGCCTGTTGTGTTATTCACGCTTTGTTTGTTGGTCTCTCTGCTTATTGGACCGTCTACAGTTCGTGGGCTGCGTCCTTTTTTGGGATTGCATACTGTATTACTTTCATATTTATACTATTATTAAATGTGCAAAGTGTTTCAATATTTCAGTATTTGTTTATTAATTGATATAAATTCTATAAAACTCAAAATTACCTAATAAAATTAAAATTAATTCAAATTAACAAAATATAAAAAGAGTTTAATTCAAATTACAAAGTCCCACATTGTTTTTAAGTAAAAATGATTACATGAAAGCTTTTTATAAAACTATAGAGTTAAAGAAATAATAATCACACTTTCTCGGCCTTTTGGCTAAGATCAAGTGTAGTACTAAATTTTGCAGTATACTACAACTCACACAAAATATAAATACAGTAATTACCTAATAAAATTCAAATTAACAAATTATATTATACTACTCTCATTAATTATTATATCCCACGATTGTAGCAGGAAGGAATTCAAAACCTAAACCAAACCCAAATGGATCAAATAATTTTTTTCACATTTGAGAACAAACATATTTAAATTAAGTACCATATTTGATGTGAACATTTCGGAATAGCTTTAGAGTTACTATTGAAAATTCAATCTATAATCAATTATGCTTGACCAAATGGTCCATATATTAAATTATTTGTCAATTTTCATATTTTTTATTTAATAAAATCTTTGATGTAAATGAGTCGTGAGTTTATTGCTGTAACCAAGCAGGAAAAGCAAAATACAACACAACCACTTCTAATTTGAGAACCCCCAAAGCTCTGAAACTTACCACATGTTTCCATAGTAATAAATTACTAAATTATAATAACAGTAATTACTTAATAAAATTTTAATTAAGAAAATATAAAAAGAGTTTAATTCACAATTCAAATTATACCATACTACTTTCATTAATAAAAACCTATTCATAAAAAGAGTTTAATTCACAATAAAAAGTTTAATTATTATATCTCACAATCAATAAAGAGTTTAATTAAAATTCAAATTATACTAAAATTCAAAACATATAATAATTAATTTTTCTAATATAATATTTATTAATTGCTATATAAAATAAAATAATTTTTCTAAAACTCTATTATAAATTAGCTTTTATTATGAGTTTCTTAATAAAATTAAAGTTAGTTAGACAAGGATATATTTAAAGAAAATAAAATAATTTCAATAAAATTCTATCACAAATTACCTATTTTATTTTCAATAAAACTCTATCACACTAGACGAATATATATTTAAAGAGTTTCTATAAAACTCCAACACAAATTACCTATTTATCTATTTATTGTGAGTTTTTTAATAAAAGGAAATCTAATTAGACAAGTATTATTAATGTAAAAAATTATTTATTAGTTGATATAAAAAGAGGTTCAAAAAATTTCTATAAAACTCTAACACAAATTACCTATTTATCTATTTATTATGAGTTGTTTTTAATAAAAGTAAATCTAATTAGAAAAGAATTATTAAAGCAAAAAATATTTATTACTTGACATAAAAAGAATTTTTAAAAGAGTTTATATTAAACACTAACACAAATGACTTATATATTTATTTGTTATAAGTTTTTTAATAAAAGAAAATCTAATTAGGCAAGAATTATTAATATAAAAAATATTTTTTTATTGATATAAAAAATAAAATAATTTTCCTAAAACTCTATCACAAATTACCTTTTATTATTAGTTTTTTTTTTAATAAAAGTTAATCTAATTTGACAAAATTATTAAAATATAAAAATATTTATTAATTCATATAAAAAGAGTTTTAAAAATATTTTCTATAAAACTCTAACACGTATTACCTATTTATCTATTTATTATGAGTTTTTTTAATAAAAAATATAATTAAACAATAATATATGTAAAGGAAATAAAATTTTTCTATAAAATCTATCACAAATTATCTAACTCTAAAATTTACCTAATAAAATTCAAATTAATCTATTTATCTATTTATTATTATGAAATTTTTAATAAAAGAAAATCTAATTATACAATAATTTTTTATATAAAAAATATTTATTAATTGAAATATAAAAGAAATCAATTTTTCTAAAACTTTATCACAAATTAGCTTTTATTATGATTTTCTTAATAAAATTAAATTAAATTAGACACGGATATATTTAAAGAAAATATAACAATTTCTATAAAACTCAATCACAAATTACCTATTTTTTTTAAAACTCTTCCCCAAATTAGCTTTTATTATGAGTTTTTCAAAAAATGAAATCTAATTAGAGAAACATTATGAATATAGAAAATTATTTATTAATTAATATATAAAGTGGTTTTCAAAGAGTTTTTATAAAACTCTAACACAAATTACCTATTTATTTATTTATTATGAATTTTTTAATAAAAAGAAATCTAATTAGACTAAAATTATTAAAATAAAAAATATTTATTAATTGATATAAAATGAGTTTTTAAAAGAGTTTATATTAAACTCTAATACAAATTACCTATTTATTTATTTATTATAAAATATTTATTAATTCATATAAAGAGAGAAATTCAGAGGGGCATAGATCTAGAATTACAGAAGCTCTGCCAAAGAGTTTCAATATTTATTTATTTATATATAAAATACAGAATTTAGAAGCTCTACTAAATAGTTTCAATATTTATTTATTTATATAAACAAATTTTATTAAACGTGCAAGGAGTTTCAGTATTTATTTATTTATCTAAAAAATATTTATTAAATGATCTGAAAAGAGTTAAAACTCTAAAATCTATCCAATAAAATTAAAATTAACCTATTAATCTATTTATTATTATGAATTTTTTAATAAAAGAAAATCTAAAGTTTTAGTATTTATTTATTTATATAAAAAATATTTATTAATTGTGAAAAGAGCTTCAGTATATATTTATTTATAATAAAAAATATTTATTAAATGATATGAAAAAAGTTTGTTTTTTAAAAAGAAACTCTATAAAACTCTAAAATCTACCTAATAAAATTCAAATTAACCTATTTATCTATTTATTATTATGAATTTTTTAATAAAAGAAAATCTAATTTTCAGAGTAAAATATAAAAGCTCTGCCAAAATGTTTATTATTAAAAGAATTCATAATAATAAAAGAAAATCTAGAGTGTTTCAGTATTTATTTATTTATATAAAAAAATATTTATTAATTGATATAAAAAGAGTTTTTATCAATACTAATATTAAATATGCAAAGAGTTTCAGTATTTAAGTATCTATTTATATATAAAAATAAAAAAATTATTAATTGATATGAAAAGAGTCTTTATAAAATAAAAAAAAAACTCTATCAAACTCTAAAATTTATCTAATAAAATTTAAATTAATCTATTTATCTAATTATTATTATGAAATTTTTAATAATAGAAAATCTAATTAGAGAATAATTATTAGTACAAAAAATATTTATTAATTGATATATAAAATAAAATAATTTTTTTAAAACTCTACCACAAATTAACTTTTATTATGAGTTTCTTAATAAAATTAAATCTAATTAGACAATGATTTATTTAAATAAAATAAAATAATTTCTATAAAGCTTTATCACAAATTACATATTTTATTTTTAATAAAACTCTATCACACTAGACAAAGATATAATATTTAAAGAGCTTGTATAAAATTCTAACACAAATTCTTTATTTATATATTTATTAAGAGTTTTTAATAAAAGGATATCTAATTAAACAAGTATTATTAATATAAAAATTATTTATTAATTGATCTAAAAAGAAGTTTTAAAAGAGTTTCTATAAAACTCTAACACAAATTACCTATTTACCTATTTATTATAAGTTTTTTAATAAAAAGAAATCTAATTAGACTAGAATTATTAATATAAAAATATTTATTAATTGATATAAAAACAGTTTTTAAAAGAGTTTATATTAAACTCTAATACAAATTATCTATTTATTTATATATTATAAGTTTTTTAATAAAAGAAAATCTAATTAGACTAGAAAAACACTACCACAAATTACCTATTTATTTATTTATTTTGAGTTTTTAATAAAAGGAAATCTAATTAGGCAACTATTGTTAATATAAGAAATTATTTATTAATTGTTATAAAAAGAGGTTTTAAAATAGTTTCTATAAAACTTTAATACAAATTACCTATTTATTTATTTATTGAACTTTAATTAGACAAAAATTATTAATATAAAAAAATATTTATTAATTGACATAAAAAGAGTTTCTATAAAATTATAAGACATATTACCTATTTATCTATTTATTATGAGTTTTTTTTAATAAAATAAAATATAATTAAAAAAATAAATAAATTTTATAAAATTTACCACAAATTGGCTGTTTTATTTTTTTTTATAAATTTTATCACATTATCTATAAAAATATTCAACACATCCATCGCACATGCCTTTTCCTAATATATATATATATATATATATATGAAGTTCATCTTTACCTTCCCAAAAAAAAATTAATAATAATAATCTGTATTAGATAGAAGATCTAATTTTATCATATCCTATCAATTACAAGAAATTGAGCTAAGTATTAGGTTCCCAAATTGTTCATAAATTTCATTTGATTTAGTGTTTGTTTTTTGTTTTTTTAATAAAACTATCCTGCAACATAAAAATCATTACTACTGTTTTTATTGTTTCCATTTTCAGCATGTTAGTATCGAAAAGCAGCACAAACACACAGACCTGGTTGGTGTAACCATTGCTACATTTGAAGATCCCCTTAACAATCTGACCAGTCCCTCCTGCAATCGCTCTAGCCAAAACATTGTTATAATCTTCAATCCTTGGCGCAAACTCCTTCCAATCCAAATTTTTATTTTGAGTTGATGATGATGAGCTAGAAAAACACGAATGTTCTTGCAGGATTGAATCCAACGAGCCCAAACTGCCACCATATTGTTCCGAGAAGGACACTCCGTAGCTCAGAGGGTCACCATCTATCATCGGCAGTGAAAACAGATAGTGCAGAGCATCAAGCTTCACCACAGGCTCATCTTTTGTCAACGGCCATTTAGCTTCATCTCCAACTTCAGCAATGGTAGCAAGAGGAATATTTTCATCAGATACGCGAAGAAGCGTGAAATCGCCATTGGCAGGTTCTACTGCCTCTCCCTCCTCCATCAGAGAAAGTAAAGATGGAAAGGAAATGGCTTACAGAGAAAGTTGTGCTGTGATTGATTCCTTGTTTTGGAACTTTATTCTATTCTTTATGCACTGTATATCCTATGATAAAATATTACTTTCGGTGGAAGATAAACTGACAGCGTGAAAATCTTTCTGTGATGGTAAGTCAATCGCATAAACTCTCATTGTCTCTCTCAACAGTGTGATCTTAGGGTTTAGATCCTACATAGTCTGCACTACCAATGCAATGTGGCTGTCTTTTTGTTCATTGAAACGATCATCATATGTGATTGTAACTCAATCACAGGGTTTACGATGATAACACAATTTGAATATAAACAATAAGTTACACTCTCAAGATGGTATTCATCACATCTTCCTTAAGTGAATTATTTCATATAAATGTAATTGGTCACATAAATTATTTTATTCAGATTTTTTTTCTCCCTTCAATCCTTGCAACAACTTTTGACCATTTGGTGGTGGGAAAGAGGACCCCAGAATTGTCATGGTGAAAGGCTTCACGCTGATCGCACGTTATTTTAATGAAAATTTTATCCCTTTGTTTTGTGACAAAATGTTCTTAAATAAAAGTTTCTTCCTATTGCGTAACTGGTGCACTGGGCCCTTGTAGCCTGGATCTGGGTTTGGGCCTCCTGGAATTCTTTCCTGGGCTTGATCTCTTACCCACTCGGCTTCGGCCTGTCTGTGTAGGGGCCTCGGGCTATGCCCCGAGTAAATATGTAATTATTTTTACTTTTTATATATTTTTACTTATTTAACGAAAAAAAGTAACCATATGCTTGTGAGGAGAATGAACTGAATCTTAACGTGGATGATTCACCACCAGGCATGTACATCCCGTCTCACTTGTATTGGATAATTATTGAAAATTTTTTATTATTTAAAAGTACTCTTAAGAGTTTTAACACCACTATTCTCGAAGGAAAAAAAAAAATAAAAAAAAATTATGGATGCCTTTTTTTATTTATTTTTAGATGTAATTAATGCGGTCGTACTATGGTGCTTAGAGATTAAGGGGGAAGGGCATTAACATATGCAGCTGTTCTACAGAAAGGTTTGAAACATTTAATGTTTTGAAGTTATGAGCACAAGTTGATCATTAAAGGTGACACTTAATTAATTTAACTTGGTAATTTTATCTTTAATAATTTATGAATAATACCACGTATGGCATAATCGAATTGGGATATAGTAGAAAAAAATCAAAAAAATAATAATAGTGTTGGAGTGAAAATCATATATGAGAGTAATAATTAATTGGCATATCACTTTCACAGTTCACACTTTTACTTATCGCTCACGATCTGAACATCAACATATACAAATTGACCCAATTTATACATAAGAAGCAGCAGAAAAAGTAAGGAAAGAAAAATAAAATGGTGAAACACCAACCAATTTCATTCAGTCGTTGAAAAAAAAAAATTATGTCTTTTTTTGATTTTTTTTTACCCTTTCCTGAATAACCCACTATCATTCTAATTTATAGCTATAGTAGAACTCTAGAATCACGTTGAAAAAAAGGAGCAAGTTCTTACAATATTATATATTTGTATACAACATATATATAAAGAGAGAGATAGAAAGATTGCTTAGAAATTAGAATTCTACTAGTTGATTTTTTTTGGATGAGAGTTCACAGATTTTTATACAGTTACCTTTTCAGTCTTTGAGATTGTAGGTGCAAAATTTCTCTCTTTAAAAGAAATTAAAAGAAATTAAACAACTCACTCAAAATAAAGAACAAGAATTATTCAGAGAAAAGCGTATAGTGCTCCCTTCTTTATTGGAGGTCCAGGCTTCTATTTATATACAAAAATGTGATGGAATTATGGTAGGACTCGCTTGGCTTGTCTTTCAATTCATTCCATACTAATTGAATTACTTCTTTTTATAATTATCTCTATTTGGAACTTTCCTTCTGTAGAACTTTTCTTCTATGTGGAGTCCTTTGCTTAGGAGGATTTGTTCAATCTCAAATACTTTTGGGCTGGATTCACTATGGGCTAGCTGATTCAGTTTGACGGGCTGAAAGTTGAATACCAGTGATCTTGGGCCAAATGTAACTTGGATCAACTGAGCCTGCCAACGGGCTGAGAGCTGGACGTTAACAACCTTGGGCTGATAATGACTTAACTTGGGCTTGACCAGGATTAGGCTTCTTGTGATCAATTAAAAGGAAAAGCATGTAATTCTTTGTTGTGTTAACGTGGATGACTTTTATTGGAGGGGGAATTTTCCCTTCACACTTTGCTCCCAATTCCCTCTTTAATTGGAATTGAAAGGAAATTGAAGTTGCACGATTGCCAATTTTACAAGAAGCGGTTCAAGAAGTGTCTATTGCCATTCTGTCCTGAAAGCTTCCTCAAGACTTGTTTTTGGCCTTCATTGCGTCCATTGTGTTTGCTGCGCTCTTTGCTTCATCATAACACCAGGTTAGTTATACTTCTTCGATCTTGCATCATGAGCACCTCCACTCACGACCACGTAGAAATTGTAGATTATGAATCCACACCCTCGTCTTCCCCTATTCACATTAGGGTTCCTCCCCCTATGGTTTCTGACCCCATTAAATCTGCGAACGATTTAGTCACTTAAATGGATGTCTCTCTTCCTCAAGCTGGGTCAAATAATGTGTTCACTAAAGAGGAGAGAAAGTTGATTTTGTCTGTTCGGCGTCTCAAGTTCACCATTGAGTTTGTAATGGAGGAATTTGAGATCCCTGGAGGGGTAAACATTGTTGAATACCCAGAGAAGGCTGATTTCAATTCCGGCGAAGGCGTCGGAGATAATGAATTGCCTTTATCAATCGGGCATCTTAATGCTCTTCAATTCCCTTTCCATCCCTTCTACCACTTGGTCTTCAATAAGTTAGGACTTACCCCTTTTCAAGCAAACCCTAACTTTCTTCGAATAGTCTCGGCACTTCTAGTTCGCCGAAGGCTGGAGAGTTTTGACTTGACTCTTGCTGACCTACTGATTACCTACACCATCGCCAGGCATGGGACCGAGCCTGGCCGTTTTTATTTTACTTCCCCTCTTCAACAGAGGATATGTATGGACCTTCCTTCCTCCGAGAAGAAATGGAAAGAGATGATGATAATTGTCAAAGGGAATTAGGTTATGTCTCAATCGAGCAAACTCCCAATCCCACGCAAATTTAGGAAGTTAGGTATAGAATGCTTTTCCTCCCTTCATTACAAATGCTCTGGTTACTTCCCATGCCGAGTCTTGCTTTTTCGTCATACTTATGAATTTCTTGGTGCTTTTTCAGAAACCTTCCCTTCCTCTACGGCTAAGAACAGGCTCGACTTTCTTGAAGACAGGTTTGGAGTAATCCCCCATCTGTTGAGGAGTTACTCTTTTCGTCCAATCTCAAGGAGATCGCCTCCAGCGCTGCAGCTGCTGACCTAATGGATCTGGCAATCCCCTCATTTGACAGCTTTCCTCTAACGGAGGAGGAAAAGAAAAGGGCTGAAGCCCTTAAGAAGAGAGCTGCAGAGGCAGAGTCTTTTGCCATTGTGCGTTCTCTTGAGCACGAGAAAGATGTTGAGGAAGCTTCTTTGCACAAAAAAGTGAAGTTGAACCCCTATTCAACAGCAAAAACTAAGGGAGTTATTCCTTCAAGAAGCAAGGGTAAGAAAATTGGAAACACTGACCCTGAGGCTGATCCTGAGTAGGAGGTGAGGGCTTTTGTCTTGGTCGAGAAGGGTGAGCCTTGGAGGCCTACCTTTTCTAGGGCGGATAAATTAATCCTTCATTCCGGGGATTCGGTTATGACAGATCCTTTCGCAGCGCTAACAGTCTATAGCTGCCAAAAAACGAAGAAATTATGGATAATATGAAGCTAGACCAGCTTTTTCCCTCTGCTCCAGTTCGTGCCGTAGAGGTTTATCCTTTTCCCTTCTTCGTTATTTCCTTAGCTTTCTTTCCACTCTACTTACATTGTTACTGTCATTGTTGATTGTGTAGAGCCTATATCACACTATGGCCCTATGCGCCACTACTGAGGCTCAGTCCCTTTCTATCAAGAAATTGGAAAGGGACCTTGCCAATGTTGATAAGAAGGCTTCTAATGTCATTCTGAATGCAAAGATAGGCTCTGTGGCGAGGGATGTTTACAAAAACCATTTGGCAGCATTTGAAGCCAAAATAGAGGCATTGGAAGCTGAGGTCCAGTGTTTGAAGGATGTAATTGGCACCTGTATCACCGCTAGGAAACAAATGTAAGGATGATACTCCACCTTGGTGCGCTTATCCAGTGCGAAGGCCTTCCGGATCGGCTTCAACCAGGGCTCGAGTGACAAACTGAAGGACCCAGAAGCTTTTGATGTTGACATGGAAGTGTCCTTCCTCTATGCTGAGGGTCCACAGGCCCAAGAAGCTAAGGTATTGTTCGCAGAGATGGTGAAGTCGCACTGAGATGATCCTTCAGTTTCAACTTCTTCAGTCCCTGCAATTTCAAGCCCATCTGTTCTTCCAGCCTCCAGTCCAAACGTGGTGGATGCTTTTGATTCTGCTCCTTTTGACCCGAAAATGAAGTGAACTCGTGTATCATTCGCTCTGGAACAATACATGTTTTTGCCTGTAGACAGTAATATTTTATTTATTTTTGGATAATGTTCTCTATAATTCTTATATTTACTTTTGAAAATTTGCATATTTATGAATGCTTCTGAATTGTATATACTCGTTGAATGATTTTTCATGCCTTTGAGAAAGATTTATTTTCTCTGGCAACTTCGGACTCCTTATGGTCCGAAGCAAAAACAAAAGGGATAGTAAGAAGGGAGTTTCTGTGACGGTTCAATCACTGACCGAGGAGTGTTTTATCACTTAGTGATCTAACCGTCAAGGGAATCCTTCTTGCCCTTAATTTATATGAAGTAGGTATATCAATACTTGTTGCTTCTTGTATCATTTCGATGTGGGATAAGTTACTAAACTGGCTTAGTAATTGTCCTAATCAAATACATTGATTTTTGGGAGCAAAATGCTAAGAATATTCGTCCCCACTTAGGCTTAGACCTATTGGTGCATCCTTGGACTCTGGAGGTCCTGAGCAGCAAATTCCTCAGTAGTTAGGTATGTTTTAGAAGCTTTGTTGTGATCTTCGGACTCTGAGGATCCAAAGCGTGGGGTTCCTTGACTATGAGCCTGAGAGGATTTGCATTGTATTGGACACTTAAGGTCCTAAGCATGCAATTCTTCGGACACGTGGGTCCGAAGATTCAAAAGTGGGAGAAAGACAAAGAAAAGAGTAACAGTGACTTGGTCAGATTCCCAAGCGTTTGTTTGGGGTCCTGTGTTTCACTATTACTCTATCCTTAGCATTATCTTCTAGTAACATCTATTTATATTAACCAACCCCACTTCTTGTATCCTTTCGATGTGGGATAACTTGCCTAAGAAACTCTAGGCAAATTAGAATAAATTCGAGATTGGTATCCTCATAATCTAAAGATTCTCCAAAAGGTGGGCTCACGAAAGAGATTCCCCTGATATGTAGGTCTCTAATTGAGAGACTTTACTTAAAGATACATTTATCAGGAGACTCCTTCCGTGGCGTTCAACAGTAATAGGGTAACATCATATATTGTATTCCCTTTTCTTGTTTGTTTTCGATGTGGGATAACTTTTCATGAGTTTCAAATTGTTGGGCTGGGTACCAAGGCCCACAAAAAGTATTTGCCCCCGTTTGAATTTAGACGTGTTACTAAGGCCCAATAGTAAAACATCCACAAAGAGTACTTGCCCCTGTTTGGGTTTAGACATGTTGGTCTGTCATTGGCCTCTTGAGATCCGAGGTGTTGTATTCCTCTGCTATTCACTTGAGAAGAATTTATTGATACCTTCAGACAATTGGGGTCTGAGGTGAGTTATTCCTCGGCTATTTGCTTGAGAGGATTTTATTGATACCTTCGGACACTTAGGGTCTGAGGTAAGTTATTCCTCAGCTATTCGCCTGAGAGGATTTTACTGATACCTTCGAACACTTGGGGTCCGAGGTGAATTATTCCTCGGATATTCACCTGAGAGGACTTTACTGATACCTTCGGATACTTGGGGTCTGAGGTGAGTTATTCTTCAGCTATTTGCCTAAGAAGATTTTATTGATACCTTCTGACACTTAGGGTCCGAGGTAAGTTATTCCTCGGCTATTTGCCTGAGATGACTTTATTGATACCTTCGAACACTTGGGGTCTGAGGTAAGTTATCCTCAGCTATTTGATATGCCGCGGAAGAATGCTTTATTTATTATAAATTCTCAAGGCCGAAGCTTTAAAAAGAGGAAGAGGCCAAGAAAAAAGTCACCGAGACTGTGTAACTTTCCATACATGTGACTGGAAGTCTTTTCATCTTTGAGACTCATTTTTCTGGCACTTATATATATATATATATATATATATATATATATATATATATATATTAACTACATATTCTTTTTGTACTTACTCGATGTGGGACAAAAGTAGAGTTTACATTTTGGGCCAGGAACTCTGGGCTTAAAAAAGAGAGAATTATTGCAAAGAATGCCCACTGGTACTATTAATTACTAGTTGGCCCTCTTTGCAATGCACTCAACTACTTTCACTGTTCCTTATATAAAGGAAAGCTTGGAGCTATGTTCAACCGATGTGGGATCGTAACCACATATACGCTTTGGACTAAAAACATTTGATCTTTGTGTCAAAAAATGAGGAAAAATATTGCAAAGAGTGTCCTTTGGATACATGGCTTAAGTGCATGTTTGAATTTTCAATGGGCACTCGTTGCAATATACATTCATGTTAAAGTATGCCCCTATGTAAAAAGATTTGTAGAACAACTAAAAAGGTACAACTAAAAAGCCAAAAAATATAGTTTCTTTTGTCATAATATTAATAGTAGAGTATATGCGTTGCCCCTTATGACGAAAAAGAAACTATTAAGCAGTAACCCACATCAACATCTAAGTCACATGTGACCATTAGGAACATAGATCTATTAATCATTCGTGTATCTATCATACTTCCACATCATGAGTTTAGACAAAGAGTCGTATAGATTAATAAGAATCTTTTATTATGTGGGCCGTAAGCAGCCATACTTGTAGAAAGATAAATTGACTATATTGTCTAATGATAGTACCCTTTGAGGTGTATTGCATTCCATGGGCGTGTAATTGTTCGCCCATCAGCTTCGGCTAGTCAGTAAGCTCATTTCTCTACCACCTCTGTGACTCTATATGGTCCGGTCCAATTAGGTTGCAGTTTTTTTACGTGTACTGTTTCCTGCTTCAGCACCCAATCTCCTACTACGAAGCTTCTGAACCTAACTCGCTTACTGTAGTTGTTTCGCAACTGCTGTTGGTATGAAGCGAGTCTAATAGCCGCAGCGTCTCTTTTTTCTTCCAAGAGGTCGAGGCTATGCTTGAGCTGTGTATCATTGTTTCCTTCGAGCAACAGATGTGTCCGAAAAGTGGGGATTGTTGATTCCGTGGGGATGACAGCTTCAGACCCATAAGCCATTGCAAAGGGGAGCAAGGGGCTCTCCCCCGTTGGCCGGCGTGGGGTGGTTCGATATGCTCAAAGTACCTCAGGCAATTTCTCATACCACTTTGATTTGAACTTCTCCAACCTTTTCTTCAAACAACCGAAGATAGTTCGGTTAGTTATTTCAACTTGCCCATTCCCTTGGGGATAACTAACCGCAGCCAATTTCATCCTGATCCTATGCTCGGCAAAGAACTTTCTGGTGCTTCTGTTGTCCAAGTTCTTACCGTTGTCCATCATGATAACCTTTGGCACTTTGAATCGGTAGATTATATTGTTCCATATAAAACTTTTCACTTGCTCATGGGTCATGCTTGAGTAAGCCTCTACCTCTACCCATTTTGTGAAGTAATCCGTGGCTAGCAATATGTACTCCTTTTGCTCTACAACTTTGGGCAAAAGTCCGACCATATCAATCCCCCATTGTGCGAATGGCCATGGATTCGCCATCGCGTGCAAATCTTCAGCAGGCTGATGTTTCATTAGGCCATGTTGCTGGCACTGATCGTACCTCCTGGTGTATTCTTCAGCGTTTCGAGCCAGATATGGCCAGAAATAGCCTTGAGTTAAGACCTTATGCGCTAGAGACCTGCCGCCGGAGTGGTTGTCACAATCTCCGTCATGAATTTGCTTTAGTATTATAAGGGCTTAAGCACTTCAGGTCAGGACCTGAAAATGATTTTCTATATAATTGATTATTGATAATGGAATATTTAGCTGTGGCAAACCCTATTTTCTTTGCCTCAAATTTCTGGTTCGGAAGAGTTCCATACTTGAGGTAAGCTTCTAGTGGATCCATCCAGCATAGTTATCATGGAATGTCCGAGATTACCATTACCTCTTGTTGAGGACTCACACTAAGTGTGTCCAGGACATCAATCGGCACTATCTGGACTAAATTCTCATCTGAGGAAGACGCCACTGTAGCCAGTTAATCCGGCTCAGAGTTCTCCTCCTGAGGTACCTGGTGGAATTCAATTTGATCGAATCCACGCATAACACTTTCTACAGCCTCCTTGTAAATTTTCATTCTTTTTCTTTGGACTGATACTTGCTTGTCACCTGATTCACAATAAGTTGAGAGTCACTAAAAACCTTTAGATTCTTTACCTGGAGCTGATTTGCCAATCGAAGCTCGGCAAGTAAGGCCTCATACTCGGCTTCGTTGTCAGTGGCAGGAAAATTTAAACGAATTAATTGTTGCAGCTTGGTGCTCTTAGGAGTTGTAACAACTACTCTAGCCCTAGCACTGGTTAAATTTGAAGAACCATTCACCCGAAGCTCCCAGTAAGGTTCAGGAAGTTCAGGCTTTTCGGGTTTATCCTCATATTCCAAGAGAAAATCGGCTAATGCTTGTCCCTTGTGTGACACCTTTGGCTCATAGGCTATATTGAAGGAACTGAGTTCGATTGCCCACTTAGTAATTCTCCCTGATAAGTCCGGCTTGGACAGAATAGCTTGCATGGGGTAGTTGGTAAGGACCACAATGCTGTGAGACTCGAAGTAGTGCCGAAGCTTTCTCTTTGCATACACCAAGGCTAATATAATCTTCTCTGTTTTGCTGTATCTTGCTTCAGCATCTGTCATCATCTTACTGGTGTAAAAGATCGGATACTGTAATACCCCTAATTTTAAAAGGATAGTTTCGGTATTTATTTATTTGTTTTAATTGTATTTTTAATTATTTAATTAATTATTTGACTAATTGCTTATGGGTTTTATTGAATTAAGTGTTACTTGAGTATTTGATTATGTGTCTATATGTTATTTGTATTTGTGTATGTGTTAATTATTTAATTAAATTATGTACTTAAATGGTGTTTTGATTAATTATAAATTAAATGTTTTCTTTTATTTTTTTTTTATAGTTATGGTTAGTAGTAATGGGTCAACCAATTCGGTCACATGGACTACTTGGATAGGAGGTTGGGTGGGTATAGATTATTACCCATGGATAGTTGTGTATATATATGTATAGATATATATTATATACATATATAAAAGAGAAAGTAATTTATTAATTACTTTTATGGTAATTTTGGTAGTAATATTTGATCTGATGTATATGTTTTATATTTAAATAATAACACATAGATTTGATACGTGTTATGTTTTAAGTTATTTTATAATATTATGGTAACTTAAGTATTATTGGATAATCCATTAATAAATAATGGGTAATGATGAGCGTTGAAAAGTGCGTATTTAAACCCCTTAAGCTTAGACATTCTAGTACCTTTATCTATCTTACTTTACCGTTTTAGATTGATTTCGTATTATTTTCATTTTCAGGCACTTATCCCAAAAATAAGCTAACTCAGCCAAATAAGAGCTCAATTGAAGCAATTCTGGGATTGAACAAAGAAAGGAGCAAAATGGGGGAAGAAAGAAGCAAAATGAAGCAAAGCAGCAAGTTCGATCGATCCAAGTCCAAGGTTCGATCGATCGAACATTGATCGATCTCAGTACTTCAAGATAGATCCAAGCCTTGACCCAAAACACTTAAGTCCAAAAGTTCGATCGATCCAACATCATTCTTCGATCGATCGAACACCTTTGTCCTTATCCAAATGATTGATCCTATCCACAGCTGTACCACCCATTAACCACATTTTGTCCTTTTCCCAAAAATATCTTGGATTTGTCTTTTTCCAAAAAGCTCAGCTAGTTGGATCGATTTAGTCTCAGTTTGATCGATCTCAGCCAGTTCGATCGATCCAAGTCCAAGGTTCGATTGATCGAACTTCCTCCGAGTGCAAAAAGTTAAAATTCTAGCTAATTGAAAGTTGTCCTTTATCCAATCATTGGAGAATATTGTGTGCACAACCCTAGTTCATTTTGGGTGTCATTTTAATCTACCTATATAAGGATAAGGATTGGTTTTTTAAAGGGGAGCCAACATTATTTTTGATATCATCTCTTGGAGAGGAAGTTTAGAGAAAGAGGAGGCTAGAGACACCATTGGAGATCTTCATCAACAAGGAGTAAGCCTCTTCCATGGAGTTAGCCCTTGAGGGTTGGAGCATCCTCACCATAAGTGGCTAGACATCCTCTTGGGGCTAGAGTTAGCCCCAAACATGTTTTTTATATCTTAATCTTGTGTATTATTGAGGGATTAGTGTTGTAATTAATGTTTTGACACTTTGATATTTATAGATCTTGTTTAATCAATGATTTGTGTGGTTTAATGCTTCCAATTGATCATTTCATTTTATCCATATGTCTATGTATGCTAAAATTGATGTTCATGTTCTTGTCTCTAGATTTTGTGTTGTTGATGCATGTCTATGTGTATTGATGCCATGGATTTAGGGATTGTCAAAACATAGTGCTTAAATGAATGCTTTTGTGATTCTCTTGATGGTTCATGCTTATCTCTTGATGGATTGTGCCTCTCCCCTAGTTTATTTTCATGCTAATAGCTTAGATGTAGTGTAGTTATAGTGTAGTGTTAAATGGGAGGACAATCTATGCTTGTTATTTGATGATCCAAGCTTTTGAATGCAATTAACATATGTCTCTAATCTTGTGTTGTATTTGGATTGTGAGCCTAATGAAAGGATTAATGACTTGTTTTGATTTATTGTGCATTTCACATATTGTTTAGACAATATATGCTTCATAGCTTAGATATATTGTGCCTTTCACATGATGTTTAGACAATTCATGCTTAACTAGTCATTCTTGTTTGTTGAATCAACCAAATACACACACACACCAATATTGCAACACCCTAATTGCCCTCATTAATCACTTGTCAATAATATAGAAATGCATTACTTGGTGGTGATTTCTAAACCCCAAGACTCTTATCTCTCTTACTTGCTCTTAATTGCACTCTTTTGCTATTACTTACTTTAATTTAGTTGCTCTTTAATCAACCAACCAACCAATTGTTTGATCACTCGACCTACTAACCCTAATAGCGATTCCACAATCAACTCCGACATTGCTCAATCCCCATAATCCCTTGGGATGATCCCTACTCGCCCTAGCTATATTTATAGTGAAAAGTAGTAGTGGCTTTTATAAATGTAAAACTCTTAGCCCTCGCCTTAATGCATACTCTTAAGCCTATGGTAGGACGTCCCTACCATACACCAACAAGTTTTTGGCGCCGTTGCCGTGGATTAGTTGATTAGATTTGGCAACGTCGGATTTGTGGAATTGATTAGGATTAGTACTCTTTTGATCGTATTTTTACTTTATTTTTATTTTTCTTTTTGGTTACTTATTATGTTGTTCTTACTTAACTAGGTGCATTGTTGGAGAGGAAGTAAGCAAAAGAGCCATTGAGCATTCAATTCAAGCAAGCAAAGAAAGGAAAAATGTTAAAAACTTAAAAAAAATTTGCTAAGCTAAGCTTTAAAATTTGGAGTTGAAGTGCTAAAGGACATTTGTGAGACTTTTTTTACTCAATTCCTTAGTTAAATCGTCGGCCAGCGTGGAGGCTATTTTATTGTTCTTTGCATCATCTTTGTTAAAGCATAGGAATATGGGTTAAGTGTTTGTGAAGGGAGTTTCATTACATTGTTGTGAAGGTATAGTGTTTGTCATTCTTTGTGTTTGTTGTGTTTTGTTATATGCATGCATGGGCGTCGTTCATTAAGACCAATTCATGCCCCTCTTGATTTGCATCTAGAATCTATCGTTAGAAATCCTAAGGGAAGAGGAAGTTCAAATAGAGCCAATCTTTCAATAGATGACCATAATGATGACCATATTGAGGACATTGGTCATATCGACCAACAAGGTATCCTTCATCCCGATGTGCACAATGAAAACATGCAAGTACCATTAGGCATGCCAAGGCCATTCATCCAACCACCACAACAACAAGGCCAAGTTCCATATGGAATGCCAATGCCAATATATGCTTCACAACCTCCCATCATTAATCAAGGAATTCATAACCAAGGTGTTCATGTTGCACCTCAAGTAGCTAATCCACCTCTTGCTTTAAGAGATCACTATGTGTCTAATGAATACAATGCACCCACATGCATTCAATTGCCACCATTTAGAGTACATCATTATGAAAATAAATTATTCAAATGCTTCCTAACTTTCATGGACTTCCTAGTGAAGAACCTTACAAGCATTTGGATGAGTTTCTTGAAGTATGTTCCACCGTAAAATATATGAACATGCCGGAAGAGGTCTTGAGACTCAAACTTTTTCCATTCACCTTAAAAGACAAGGCAAAGTATTGGTTTAACAATCTTAGGCCTTTTTCAATCATTTCTTGGGTGGAAATGCAACAAGAGTTCTTGAAGAAGTACTATCCGGTTTCTAAGACCAATGCCATGAGAACCTTAATTCGAGAATTTTCACATGGGGATGGAGAAACATTTCATGAGGCATGGGAACGCTTCAATGAATTGCTTATGAAGTGTCCACATCATGACATGCCCAAATGGCAATTAGTTCAATATTTCTTTGAGAGCTTATCGGACAACTATAAGGGTATGGTTGATGCTTCGATGGGTGGCTCATACATTGATAGGTATGAGGATGACATGTGGCGTCTCTATGAAAGCATGAATGAAAATTCTTTGCATAGAACACTATCAACCAAGAATGGTAGAAATTCACAAGGTAGGAAGAGTGTAGGCTTACATCAAGTCGAACATTCAAATGAAATAGCCACTGAAATGAAGTCTTTGTCTCAAAGATCTGATCAATTTTTGATTAACCAAAACTCAGCGAACCAAGTATCTTCCTTTCCTAACCATTCTCATCGTGCATCAAATGAAACTTGTATGACTTGTTCTAGTGTTCTTCATTCTACTTCTCATTGCCCTCATGGATAAGTGCAAAATGAGCCTAATGAGCAAGTCAATGCAACTTTTGTGAACCAAGGGAACAATCCTTATGGTACTCATTAAAATCCAAGTTAGAGGAATCATCCAAATTTCTCTTGGAAAAACCAAGGAGAAGGCTTAAACCCTTCCCAAGGCGGTTTCCAAGGGAAATACATTCCACCTCCACTTCAAAACCAAGGATCCCAAGGTTATAGACCTTATCAATCACAAGGGAATTAATTTGCTAATTCTCATTTTTCCAACCAATCTTATTCCCAAGGAAACACTAGAAGTCCCGCCTTTAAAGAAAAAGTTTTAAATGCTTTGGGGACTCTTGAGACTAACACTCAATTGCTTCATTCTCACTCTTAATCTATCGCAAAGCTAGAAACCCAAGTAGGGCAAATAACAAGCACTCTCAATGCAAGAAAGACGGGAAAGATGCCCATTAATGCCCCACCTAAGCAACAATGTGTTGTGGAAACCCATTCCTCATCGGAAGGGCATACCATTGAACATGTTAATGCGGTGACTACCTTGTAGAGTGGTAGAGTTGTGGACAATCAAGTTGAAATGTCCAATAAAGAGAGTGAACCGGTGCAACCTCAAGTTGTCACCCGTCCCGTTTCACATCACATTCCTCTTTTATTGCATACACATGATCTTGCAAATGAGAAAGTTTTGAAAAATGTGTTTGACAAAGAAGTCTTGAAAAATGATGTTGAGAAAGAAGTTTTGTTGAAAAATGATTTGAAACAAAATGATTCGAAAACTTCTTATGTTGAA